TGAAAATATCCTCTATACATCCCCCTTTAGCAACTTAAATAGATCGTCTCGTTTTTCTAAACTCTAGAGTATAGTCTTAAACTGCTCAATCTCCCTTCATAAAACAAACCCCTCACCAGGGACTGAATCTACAATCAATTAATAGATTGAATAAGAATTGTATTCTACTCACAGCTCTGTTCCACATTCTTACAGCGAAGATAGATTCATAACAGTTAAAATACAGAATTGACCTTTCCTGTACTCTGACTCCCCACAAGAGAAATTTCGATTGCCTGATTCACTGGCTGTTTCCCCATAATAATGCAAACTTTTTTTCTCTTCAGTTGCTTATGCAATTCCCTTTAGAAAGCCATGATTGAACCTTTGACTCTTTTAGGCAATTTGTACCATCGGTGCCACACACTGCGTAAACAAGTTCACCCTCATTTGGTTTTTTTGCCTTTGACTGAATAGGAGATCAATTAACAGCCAAATACAGCAGGCCAAAACATTTCATATCCAAAAGGCTTTCATTTGGCTCATCAGGTGGAGTGCACATAATTGTTTATATCTAAATGACAGAAACATTAATTGAAGCTTTTTACTGCTGTCCATGGTATACACCTTAATGAATTTGCTGCAGTCTCCATGATCTTCTTTCTTGTGGGAAATGGTGAGAAGGGAAAACATTCAACGTACCAGTCGGGGATATATCTCCAGGAGGTACCGATGCAGATGAAACTGAAAGGATGCTACTAAAAAAGTGGTAAGATCTCGGCAGCAAATTTTCAGCTGAAGGTCTCCATTTGCACAATCACACTTTTCCAGTGTACCTACAAAAATGCATTTCATACACCATGCACATTAATATTACATCAACCCTAATATTGAGCTCACTGTACAACATAAACTCATAAATGAGATGTGCATACAAAATTTATCCAGGAGTGACTTTGGCCCTGAACCATTTTTGCTTCAAATTTTAAACACCGATCCTTCTGTGCAATTTCCTTCATGGTCTTGCACCCTCCTATATTCTGTGACCGCCTAGAACTTTACCTCCTCACAAATCATTTCATTCTGATTCAGATTTCCTGGTTACTGCTGCTCTCCTCATTCTATCATCAATAACTGTACCTTCAAAAGTACTAAGGGACCAAACTCTGAAATTCCCTCTCCCTTCCTACAAGCACACATCAATGACCAAAAAATTGATCACCCCATCTAATGTCAGCATCTGTTAATTATGCATCAGTGAAACACTTTGAATCTTCAAGTGCATTGAAAGTGTACTAGAATGAAAGTGGTAGATGGTATAAAAATATTTCTGGCTATATAACTCCATGGAACTGACCAGAGTCAGGTGATGGAATAAATGGTGTTTGTCAGCTTCTAGGTTGTGTGATGTTGATGTTAATTCTTCAAGCTAAAAAAAACCAATGTCTGGACCAGCCATAAACTATCATAATTCGTCAATGCTGTCAATAATTATTTTTGCTTCAGCTCAAAAAACATCACAGTACACTGTTTTCCATGAAATAGCTTTTCTATTTCCTCTTCTATCCTGAAATACTGGAATCATAGCTGACACTTGCTCTGATTTTGCATTCTCCTCTATGTTTCAATAGGATGAGTTTCTTGATCTTTGTGTGTGCTGCTTATTTTATCCCACTCCATGTCGATTTAGTAGTAGAGAACAAGTTTGTCATCTGAGATTACCACTTTCCAAAAACCGTAGTCCCGTAACTGATATGTATTTAAACAAACTAATTTTAAAGTATATATTTGCTGATGGATTATTAAAGTTCAACAATTGCAAAATAAAACAAAATATATCACCTGAATTTCAATCTGTTTTGATACATTTGGTATTCCTGCCAGTACAACAGTAATTTATCAATTGCGGATTCTCTGTCTGGTATTGTATTTCCATTATTAACTCTGCTTTTTAACTTGGATTTGAAACTTGCTACACTATGGCCATGAGGATTTGCTGACATAGAGAGGTGAAGTAAAGTGATTAATGCCCAAGTGGAGCATAAACGCTGCCATACACCACTTCAAACAGTATGGTCTGTTTCTCAGATAATGTGTAGTAACTTCACAAACTACTTTCAAACATTTTTCTGACCATCACATCACTGGATCTTCAGGTTAGTGAAGAAACGGACACAATTACACAATTTCTTTTTCTTGAGTGTACACAAGCACAAAACTGAAACATTCCCCCAACATTCTGTCCAAGTACACAACTTCCTACAGCACATTGCTGACAAAAATGAATAAAAGAACAAAATTCACCTATTTAATGACCCAGGTTTTGGGGTTAGAGATGAAATGGCTGTATTTGCTGTTGATCTGAGAGACATGACCACAAAAAACAGGAACCATAAAATTTGAGGCAAAATAACATCCTATTTGACAAACTACCCCTTCTGATTGTTCTTGATTGGTTTGCAACCTTTGACACAGTTGATCACTCCATCCTCCTCCAATGTTTTGCTAGTTGGGTGGGACAACACTTACCTGATTGCATTGTTATCTAATTGTAGCCAGTGAATCACCTGCAATGACATCTCTTCCTGGTTCTGCACCATTACTGCTGATGTCCCCTGAGGATCTATTTATCCATGCACTCTCACCCAAATTCCTCTTATTTCTCAGCTTCCTGCTGCTCTTCAGTGATATCTAAAAATACACCAGCTTCCACACTTCACTCTTCCTCACCACCACTTCTTCTGGCGACAGAGGCCGAACCAGGTTTTTTTTGGAACTTAGGTATCATAGTTGGCCTCAATGTAAGCTTGTGATCACATAGTCATGCCACCACCAAGATTAAATCTGTCTGTATAACACTGACTTCGGCCTTCCTCAGCTCTTTTACTGCTAAAACCTTCATTCATATCTTTGTCACCTTCATATTTGATGTTTCCAAAGCATTTTTGGCTGGCCTCCCGCACCTTACTTTGTAAATTTTAGATGTCCTGACCTACACTAACTCCCAAAGTACAAAGATCAGTACAGCACAGACACAGGCCCTTTGGCCCACCAAGCCTGTGCCAACACAACGCCTTTCTAAACTAAAAACATTTTGCCTCTATGCGGTCCATATCCCCCTATTCCTCGCCTATTCGTGTATCTGTCAAGGCACTTCTTAAACATTGCTTTTGTATCTGCTTCCACCACCTCTTCTGGCAGTATATTCCAGGCACTTAACATCCACTGTGTAAAAACAAAAACTTGCTTTTCTCATCTCCTTTGAACTCTCCCATTTATTAATTGCATGTGTTCTCACCAACTACCCTAGTTCCATTAAGCAGCACTTTTAATTTGGAAAAGCTCATCTTTGTTCCCAAATCTTCATCTATCATTATCTCTGTAATTTCTTCCGGTCCCACAACTCTCCAAGCTACCTGGACTCCCTTCAATTCTGGCCTCTTAAGCATTCCCAATTTTCATCACACAACCACATGTAGTAGTGCTACCAGACACTTTGGTCTTTTCAAGTTCTCAAATTCCTTTCCTAAACTATTTCACTTTTTTTCTTCCAAGGCACATCACTTTAGCTAAGCTTTAGTCGTCTGCTTTGATATCTCATGTGGTTTGGTGTCATGTTTTGTTTCACAATGTCTCATAAGAAGTTTCAGGCATTTAATAATATTAAAATTGCTACATGTTGCTCTACAAGTTGATCCACTGTAATGTGGATTTTACCTTTCTCGATGTTGCTTTGATTCTGGCATCAGCTCAAGGAGGGGGTCCCCTGATGATCAGGTGATCTCAGCAAACAGGCTAAGCATGCAACCATAATGAATAAGTCTCTCAGACAGCAAACCAGAAAGCAAAACACTGATTATTCTTAACTTTTAAATATTTTTCAGAAAGCAAAATAAAGATTGAAACAATAATATTGGATAGACAAGCAAACTAAAATATCATAAGCTTTCATGTGTGAATGATATCATAGTGGAGAAATGGGACTTTCCACAAAGATTAGTTGTGTGTGTTTGGAAGAATTATCCATCACTAGCTTTGAACTTAGTATACTGTTAAAAATTCAGTTATTTCTTATTAATGTGTAATATTTTCAAGGAATTTTATGAGACCATTAGAATAAAAATGGTCGATCCCCTAACTTAATATGATTTCTGAGATCCAACTATGAGGATTTCACAGTGCACCCAGTAAGGATTCAGTGATAGCAGCTTCTAGGTTTCCATGTTTAACCGTGCATGCGTAGACTCAACGTTACCAACACTGTCTCAGTTGTATTAACAACAAACACAATTTCACAATTTTAACAATCTCAAAACCCAGGTCAACATATCTGCTACAATGGAACTCAGTGGAATCATAACATAGCTGTGAACTAATTATGGAATTGAACTAATTATGGAATTATGAAAATATCCTCCATTGTATTATAGCCTGTAGCCACACTTTTGTCTTTACTCCAAATGTAATTTTATGTGTAAAAATGGTCTATGATTTTCAAGTTTAGCACAGCTCTGCACATGTACCAATTTTGGGATGCTTTCTCCCAAACTAATGCTATTAATTAAATATGCAATACTCTACCCTTTGCACAGGTGTATCTGCTAGAAGGTACTGCTGTCTCATTCAGTAACTTTTTTCCCTTACAATTTGGATTTAACCAATTAATGGAAAATTGAAACATTTGCTACACTTAGGTACTGATTAATAAATTATTGATTACGAAATCTAACAGGAACATACTATAAAGTTTCTTGATGGTATAATCTCTTGCACATTTTAAAAAGGGAAATTCCATAATTTACCTCTCTTCCATTTATTATTTTTCTTATTGTTGTTGAATTTAGCATGTCGCATAAATTACAGTATTCTTGTGCAACATTTATTTTCTAATTGAAGGGCTCGCAAAATTTACTTCCACAAGACAAATATTACTAATATATTTCCCTTTAATTATAACATAGGACAGACAAAAGCAATCAAACCATCACAGACATCCAAGCAGTAACAAAAACAAATGGCTGTAGATTTAAAAAAAAGAGAATTTTTATTCAGGTAACATAAATATTCACTTATTTTTGTTCATTTACTATAAGATGAATTAAGGTTTGACTAAAAACTTTAAAAAGGCTCATAAATGACAGCAGCTGAATTCTGTAGTTCTTACTGATAAATATTTTATTAAAGGGGCATAGTCGTTTGATACAATGTCTTGCACTTTATACCAGTTTTGTGATTAGAAGTGTTTTAAAATAAAAATCTAGACCACGATCACAGAGTCTTTTGCCTTTTAAAAAGTTTTTTTTTGAAAAAGGTAGTACTGCACTAAAACAAAAATATTCCTGTAGCACCATGATCCTGGATACTCAGGTTCTCATCTCGGATTTCAGAATGTTGTTCCTGGTCATTTCACATATTCAACCTGCCTGAAAAACCCCTCCACAAGAAAAACATGACAGCGCCTTTTTGAAATGTACTTATAGCACTGTAATATCATCTGAACAAAGTTGAAATATGGAAAAATGCAATGATTATAAAATAACAGTCACTTATTTTAGGCCATTAAAAGGCTTTATACTCTTTAACGAATAGAAAAGAACTGCTGGTTCTATTTGGAATGAACTATAGCATCTTCTAACATATACAGTCTTATTTAAAACCTGATCATTGTAGGATCGCTCATTACATAGTGATAATGTTTGAGAATTGTTCTAAACATGCCAAAGTCTGAAACCAAACCAAGGTTACTCTTCCCCATTCTGCTAACACTTGACCTCATCATTTTTCCTAACTCAAAAGGTTTCAGAAAATGTACTCAACTAATTTTTTAGTTACTCGCCTTCAGCTTTACAATGATTTGGGGGGTGGTAAATGAGGGGCACACTGCAATTTTTAAGATGACCACTGGCAGCTGGATGTGATGTCGCAATAGGCTAGAAACACTACCCCCTTTATCTCCAAGATCTGATTTGACTCCAGCCAGATTTTGGTGTGAATGCCTCCTCATTCCTGTAGGTTGCAGTGGCCTGAAAAAAAAAACAAATTCAGGCAATCTCAACCCAGTGCAAGCCCACAGCACAATAGTGTTCAGAATTTAGCACAAATTAACACTAAGTTAGCACTGTTACATAATGATTGAAAATGGAATATTTACATTGTGCAGCAGGGATGCTCTTCGAGAAATTGGTTAAGGCACATTTTTGGGATAATGGAGTCTCACCCTGTATCTTAACCTATTGAATACCCAAACCAGAGAAGGCTTTATGCTAACACTGGTTGCAAAAAAGTAGAAAATCTTGTTTTTCAATTTATGCTAAGACATTCACTGGGAAAGAAGACAAAACACTACAAAACACAGGCAACAGACAAATCCGTGTATTATGGAGGAGACTTTTCTATCATTGGGATTGACAGATGAAATGTTATAGGTATGTAAAAGATTTGGATAGATGCTATTAGCATATGTCGGGGTACTGACGTAGAAAATTTCCCCAAATCAGTTACATTCCCAGATTTTAAACTATGATTCAGGGACTATTCCTAACCTATTATTCCATAGGTTTCATCTGAAATGAAACTGAAATTATGTTCACCAAGATACAGTGCCACAGAACGAAGGAACAAATTTTGTTTAGTTCCAAAAGGGTTAAATTCAGTGATTCAGTGTTCTCAACGCTAAGCCATGGTGAAAGAGAATCAGAGAGAGGGGTCCAGCTACAGCACTAATCCTCCAAAGTGTTGCTCCTCTTAACATAGTTCACTATTGAGACTGTAACTGGATTTACCTCAAAAACCATAAGCCAAATGCGTATTCCCAAGATAGGACAGAGAAAAATGTTTAAAAATAAATCAAGTTTCCTCTTCATCACTTTTCTATATCATCTATTTGTGTTGTTGAGTCCAGCAGCAGACATACCACCTGATCATTGCCAGGGTTGGGGACTTGTAAGTAAAAAGAAATGGTGCACTTTTGTTTAGAGTGAAGCAGGAAGGGCATTAAATCCCTCGATGAAAAAAAACTCAATGTGTCTAGCTCACAGCAACTTCCATATATAAAATGTCTTTTTCAAAACTAAACCCACAATGGTATCTAGTGTATTAACTTCTTTCAAGTTACCCATTGTATATGCAAAAGGGGAACAGTGCGTTTCTCGGCTAAGGTAGAGGTAAAAGGTACTTTCACACAAACGCCTGTTTACTACAATGCAATCTGTATTATATAACAAGGAGTACATTGGGTTTTTCTACAAATGTAATGAGTCTGCAGTATGTAAAGTCTGACAGGGCTTCACATAAGCAATTATTTTATACACAGTAAAGATATAAATGTAATTAAAATGTATGTACAAAAACATATCGGCAAGAACCTAAACTTATAACAACATCCTTTTAGCTGCCCATCACCTTCAAAATATACAAATTTATACTCATGTGCACATCTACATCTAAACTTACAGCACACGGATCTCCTCTAAATGAAATGTGAGCACAGAACATTTTAACAAGGGGTTAGTAGATGCATTTCAATGCTTTCTTTTAAAACAAAAAATTCACATTAACAGCAATCTAGGAACTAAATGTCATGTTTTCATTGATAGGTGTTAACGTTTAAATGGCAAAATACTGTCTCTATGGCCTTCAAACTCGGCTGTAACATTCTAAAATGGTAGTATTGCCACTTAAATACTCTCGGCGTGCGTCCCCCGCCCCACCCCCCCCACCCCTTTTCCCATTTCCCCCAAAATTGAATTTGTTTGACATTGGTTTTCATAACGAAAATCCAGTGACTCAGTGTGGGGTAAAAACAAATCCACATCAGTTGTGTTTTTTAAAAACAAACAAAAAAAATTAATTGTTTAAAAGCACCAAGATTCCCTGTCAACTTAATTATCAACATCTACTTTTTTCTTTTGACCAGTGTGTTTATCAACCCTCCCCTTCCTGTCCCCCAAATCTACCCAGAGGAAGAGTATGCTATATTCCAAGCAGTCTGTTAACTCTTCATGGATACATGCATTCTAAAATTCAGTGCTTAAAAATGGATAAAAATCTAGTTCATTCAAATGCATCTTCCTCTTCAGCTTCCTCGTGATTGACCTTTGCAAGCTCCTCGTGAACCTCCCGCACCATGAGGATACGGGTTAACATGGCATCCAGAATGGCAGGGTCAGTTGGTAAAGTTGAATACCACATGGGGCTGTCAGGCACACATGAGCGTTCAGGCTGAAGGTAGAAAACGTCGCTCCTTGACTTCACGCTCTCAGAACTATGAAAAAGTTAAGAAAAAATACAAAACTGTTTAGAATTAATGAACAGGCCCTTCCCATTACTATGAATTCTTAATCTTTATACTGATCATAGGAATGCCAATATCTAAACATTAAGGTAATGTTTAGATGCTGGGAATGTGAAGTAAATAAGCATTGGATATGTGATATGCAATTAGCATACTCAATAAATCTTAGGTTTTAATGAAATATGAAAGTTTGGAAGTTCTGGAAGAATAAAAGGGAAGATTTATTGTTTGGGTGGAAGGCAGGAGAGACAAAAAGGTTAAATGGAATGGTGGCACAACAAAAAAAAATGGTAAATGAACAAGAAAAGAAACAAAAGTCCTAAGATGTGCAGGCTAGGTGGATGAGTCATGGGAAATGCAGAATTAGGGGGATAGCACAGAGACCCGGGTCTGGATGGGTTGCTCTTCAGAGAGTCAGTGTGGACTCAATGGACCGAATGACGTGTTTTCACATCACTGGGATTCTATAATTCTATTCTATGAAAATATGAGCCCCGCGAATATATACATGGTAAAAGCAAAATTATCATCAAGAGATCATTCAAAGGGATCGAAATAGGAGTAGGATTCACATTCTGAAACTGTTGAACTTGGAATCACATACTGAATCGAAAGATGAATGAAGTGTTGAATCGAAAGAGGAGGTTCTGCTCTTTGAGCTTCATGAGAACAGTACAGGATGCAGCGTATAGAGGAGTCAGAGTGGGAGGGAAAATTAAAATGAGTCAGAAACTCTCGGCCATGCATGTGGATCAAAATGGTCACCCAATTGGCACGATCGCTTCAGTAATCACTGTGCCCATTGCCTCCCATAGTTAATTGACGACATTTCTTACTCCTGGATTTAGGAGGCTAAATGTAAACGGGATAACTGCTTTGCTGAATACATTCGTAGAATCTCTGAGCACAACCCCAACCTTCCAGTTGCCTGCCATTTTATGCCTCCACATCATGCCTACTCTGGTCTCAGTCTCAATGCAATCCAAGATCAAAGATCAGTAGCTCACCTTTCCACTTGGTTTATCCAGGCTCAACATGGGATTCTATAGTTTCACAGTCTTTCGCCAACGTTCTTGTTTTTGCTTTACATTTTGATTTTGAATGGCTGTTTTTGGTTGCAAATCTGCATTACCATTTGCACCTTTTTTTTGTTCTATATTCATTCCACTCCCTTTTGTTATTTAATCTACCTGCTTACATCATTTCACATGTCTACTGATTTTGTTCTGCTGTCATCCTTCCTTCCCTTGCCTCTGAATTTATTAAAACTTGATTCAACTCAATCATTTACAGAGCTGATGGAAGACCAACAACATGAAATGTCAAGTCTGTTCCTCTCTCAACAGATGCTGGCTGACCTGCTGTGTATCAAGGGCTTATTTCTATTACACACATGCAATTTTTCATTTTTGTGTACTCTTAATTCCAACTTTCAAGACTAATTGCACAAGGAAACTGGTGGCGTACCATTTAGACAGGTAGAATTCAAAGAGGCGCACAGGACATCTGAGTGGATTATCTGTGTTTTCGGCCATTTCCATAGCACCTTCCTCCTCCTCATCACTGCGCTTCCTCTTTCCAAATTGTAACTTATCTACATTAGAAACATAAATTAGTAAATACAACATCAACCCCTCCGATCCCATGACTTAATCAGTCTTAGACTTAGATCATGGTCATCTCGAACTTTTACATTCCCCTCATTTCTAAGATAGGAAGAAATAAAACAACACCACACTGCTTGGTAAGACACAGTAAAAATTATTTTTAATCAACCTGCTCAAACACATTAAGGTACATTCATTGTGGAACCTGAATTCAGACCTTCTAACCCAGGGGGAGTGGCCTACCACTGTGCCACAAGACCCCTAGATAAGACAATAGAGTAACAAAATAAAAGCCCAACTTAAAAAATAGGCTGCACTGTCACTGCTGATATGTAGACAATTAATTTCAGGTAAAGGAATCAAATTTAAATTACTTCATGCTCAGCCTTTAACCTGATCTAAATATTATCCCAAAGGTAAACTGCTTAGTAATAGATACTTCCATGGATATTACGGAATGTGCCTTTCCTTTACCCCAACACTTCTTCCACAGTGAATCCAAAAGACAACTTCCATAGCCAAGCATGGCACACCATTAGTCCTTCTGGGCATATTTATCACGTACTGTATTTCCTCATACCGTGAGGGAATATAGATCACAGAACTGTGATCCTGCAAAAGCATCCTATTACACAATGTAAAAGCAGTGAGTTTTGTTTTAAAGCTGCCCTGTATGATCTGCTGCACCTCATTTAATTACTGTACACTCTTCTTAGTGACTATATGATCAGATGATTTCATTTGGCTTAATCTGAAGCTGCCAATTGTTTGGGATATCTGAGCAATTAATTCTCTAATCCATAAAATCTTGGATGCAGAGCTTGTACTCTTTCACCTGAATTTTGATAAAGGTGCAATTTATGATCTTTTTTACAGTTGTAAACACTTACATCAACATATTCTCAAACTGAACAAAATCAATCCATTTCCATTAACCCCTGCGTAGAAGTTTTAATGGACTGCATTCACAATGATTGTAACACCGCACTAAGCTACAGTATAATGAAGACTGAATCTTGAATCAAAGCTAAAACCACTTCACACTGATGCTAAATTTATAGTGTGAAGCTTTGTTAATGAACCATCTGTGTTAACAAACACTTGCAGCCTGTTTGCCATGTTCAAAGTGCAGTTTACAACTATGGGCTGGATTGCAATTGCAAAAAGAATCCATTACATCAGCCAAAGGTGTCAGAATCTCATGTATCAGTGGATTATATCTTCATCATTCTCCATATAAACAATACAAAACACTGAAATAGGAATGTTCTTACTATGGCAAATATTTAAAATTTTTACTATTTTAAACATTACTCATACAAAGGGTTCCACAGTTATAATAGTTGCAAAGTGGTAAACACTTCCAGCTTCATTTTCATGAACAAAATGCACTGGAATTGGATCTAATGGGACAAATGTCCAAACCATGCTTGGTTCAGTCAGCTGAATAATCTAGTATAACAATGTGGCTTAAATAGCAATTACAGGATCAGCCATACAGCAAGCCGCTGTGAACTTGATGGCTAATACTTAATTGTAGGTCACAATTTGATCAACAAGCATAAGAATACAGCACGACTGCTTTGACTTAACACAACTGTTTGGATCTTTTGTTCATAAGAATAAACATCTATTTTGAGATAGAACTTCACCAAATCATGCCCCCCCAAATATGTTACCTTCCACCTGATAAGAAAAATAGATTTGTTTGTACCTATATCTTTGTCCTTTTTGTACATAGGTGGGAAGAATCGAAGGTAAGTCAACTTTGTGTTATGTTTCAAAGACTTTGTACATCTCATAACATGAGCAAAAGAAAGCTTCATATGTTCACTGACACTTTTCAACTGGAAGTACTTGGTGTTGAAGAACAGTAAAGTGTTGAGAAGAACTGTTGGGGAATATGCTCCAAGTTGTTTACATTCCCATAAATGTTCCTCTTCAATGCGACAAAATAACTGGCCTGTGGACAAAACAATGTTACTATCAAGCACAAGATGCAGGCTGAAATAACTCATATACTAATTTTTCTCATAAATACACATCTCAGAACATAAATTGCACCAAAAGAGAGCATCTGGTATCTGAATGAACAGGGCAATGATGTCTGTATGCCCTCAACCAATAAGATCGAAGGGTTATGAGATTATGGAGCTGTAACAAGATCAACCAGCTGTTGCAAAGCAAGCTCTCCACTTAAAGCATTGTCGTTTCTTTAAGCAAACTAGCTTGCAATTTTTAAAGGTATCCATTAGAAACTGGTTCTTTGTAGGAACAAGCAATGTATTTTTCCTCAGAGGAAGTAGGTTTGGTACCATTCTTTTCGCATCTTACCATGCCCAGGGATAAAGCAAGAAAACTACTTATTTATGATCATCATATAAAGGGGCTTCCCTAGTGGTTAGGATTTTCTGCAATATTCAGTCACATAGGTTACAAAGAGCAAATGAAAATTTAAATTTGGAAGAAGTACAAATAATTGAGTTGTGAACCACTATACAAGCCTCTTTTTGTGAAGGAGAGAAATCTGATGAAGGATCCCTGAAGTAGTAGTCAAAAAACACATGCCCACTCAAAGGAATTAACAAAGACTATGTTTATTTAAAAAAAAAAATTATAAGATTATATAACATAAAAAGGAATGGAATATGTGTTTCTCCCATGCAGTGAGCATGAAAGGTGAAAGCCCATTAGCTATAACTCAAAAAAGGTTCCATGCTGTAATGCTATTCTGGAGTGTTCCCAGGAATAATGCCAAAATTAGACTTTATGAAATGACTGAACTACCGTACAGCCAATACAAACATACACTGCATTGCATGTGTCTTTCAAAGTGGTAAATGCACGGTACTGTTCCCAAACAAGCAAGAATTCCATATACAGACACTTACCACTTGGCAGAAGCTGCGGTTGCCAAAATTTCAGAGCCTTTGTAAGCTCTGATGTGAATTTTGTGTAGTAAAGATCTGTGAAGATGTTATCAATGCGGCTGTTCTCGAATATGTACTGAAAGATACAGAGCAGATTTATGCAGGTCACAAAACAAAATTTCATTGGCCATTAAAGTATGAGATTCTTTAACACATTCTAAAGGCTCAAGTAGTAATATTTAAATGATGTCCTGTTCAACGCAAGACAGTCTTTAACAGCATGCTAGGATCATTAAACTGCAAGATTGCTGGTTTACTGAAGCTTCACACTGAAATGTTAAACACTGTTGCAGAATTCAATCTCATGTCCTGCTTAGTTCTTGCATAAATTGCGCAAAGCTCAAACCAGAAGCTAAATAAGCCCTCACTTGAGGTTAAAAAAATTCCCTTGATGACATATGTAGAGTATGACTGGTAGAGACCTGTGAACAGGTTTTGTATCAGTGACAATCAAAGGTATATGTCCTTTTGTTGGTTGGGAGAGGGATACGCTCTATGATGGACGCAGGTTGTAGATGAAAGAAATATCTTGTGCTAACACTAAAGGGAAACTGGTCACATTCTTTAAAAATAATGACCACAATGCTTCGAGATCAATCAATTTCAAACAGAATGGAAAGCTGATCATTTTCTCCAGGCCATGAACACTTTGCAATTCCCAGTTTTACACTATTCTTCTCTTGACAAGTCTCTGTTAAATATTTAACTGCTGTAAAAATCTTCCTGGAAATTCTATAGCTCAGACATATGCAGTAAATTAAAAAAATAGAATTAAGAGTAAGTAGCAAGTTTGATGCCACCTTCTGATCACAAGAGCACATTACATGGACCTGTTTTTATAAAGAAAATCAATCTATAATGGCATTAAACTAATAGATCAAATTGCTCTATTTAATTCTTCCATTTCTATTTTCAACCCATCTGATTTGATAAAATAGCAATGCAATTTTCCACTGTCTCTCACAAAAGGTACAAGTGTGAAGATTTGGAACAGCAAATGAAGGACTACCCCAAAACTGAGTCTTACCCACACGTTGTAACAGAAAATACTAGTCTGTGTGGCTATGTATGACAAACACCCGTGTATCACCATGCCTTCTTAAACAGTTTCATATTGTTAATATTGTGTTTTACCTGTTGAATTCCTAGACAAAGGTAGAAGATACTATCCGGCTCATATTTTTCTCCATTTGGTCTCCGTACTTCTTGAATAAACTGACACAATCCATAACTGAGCTCAGCAGCCGTGCATGAAAGAATGTCCTCCTTTAGCTTAATTGGTCGAGCTGCACATAAATTTAAGTCGATCATGAAAAATGTCATCACTTAGCATAAAACAGACAGTGCCACTAAAACGAAGAGCATTTTTTAAAAAATTCTGGTATACTTGGTTTGTGTACAACATGTTTACTTCTACAATTCCCCAAACATGAGGTTTCTACCTGGGCTGACCTAATGAAATAAAATGATTGAGTTTCTCTATGTGTCTCCAAGCAGCTAGCACTTGCCTGAATGTTTCAGTATGTATTGCAAATCACATGCCTAGTTTAACCACGAGTATTATGATCAACTTCGAACTACAAGAAATTATGGGTATAATGCTCACTTCTGAATTTCAACTTTATCTAAACTTGGCACTTCTGACATTTTAAAGTTCCATCTTGTCAGAAAATGAGATGGGAAAACTGAGGTCCTGCTTGTACATTCAAATAAAGGATTGCATGTCACTTTTTCAATGAGGCATGGATAGATTTTTCCACTGTACTGTCCAAGACTTATCCCTTTGTAACCTCTAAAAGTGATTAACTGACCATTTATCACATTACTAATTGTGGGACTTTACAGTGCACAAATGGACTGCAACATATACCTACAAACGAAGCTGCTAAATTTCAAAAGTAATCCAGTACCATGAAATGCTTGAGGTTCCTCCAAAGCTACAGAGACTATTTGAATGGAAGTTATTTCTCCATATGCCTACTTGAACAAAGAAACGTTTACAAATATGGAATCTTTCAAATATTATAGCAAGATGCTCCATTAGGGCAACAAGCCAAGGCTTGGTACTTGTGTACGGGGATGGAAGAGGAAACAAAAGTAGCACATTCAAAACCAGGTTTACAATCCTTATATTACACAGTTACAGGGCAGCATTAGCAAACCTTGGGAGCAGATTATATGACATTCCCCTGGCTTAAGTATGTTGTGTAGAGGCCTAAAAAAGGGAGAGGAGAAAATAAGAAACTTATCAAAAATGAGATAAAAATGGCAACAAATGGATCCTCTACTCTGGCAACTGGAAAATGAGATAGGGACTGTTTGCCAATGGAAGAGTTACATGTTTCTAGATAGACATATGCAATATAATTAGGCACCTACATCTTACAAGAATAAAGAGTAATGTACTACTTTTGTAGTTGTTGGTGATTCACTGCAAGTGGAAGGCAGAAAAGAAAGGACTAACTATACAGTAGATCAATTGGAGGTCAACATCTCCTCCAAAAACTTACATCCAAACCGTAGCTCCTCTGTGGGATCTCCCTTATCATTCCGAAATTGTACCCATCTTTTCCAAGCCTTCACACCATACATATACTTTAGAAACAGACCAACGTCACTTCCTCCAGTTACAGGTTCCTGTACAACATCTCGGCTGTACCCCACAATAGATTTCTTCCTTCCCTAAAGTGTTAAGCCAGAGTAAGTTTATAATGACTCTTGTCAACAAGGTTTAATGACCAAATTAATTAGATAACGTTTCCTAAAATAGATATGTATCCTTAGTGACAAAGCCATTTTCTGCACTAACTGTCACAAATCTGTAGGTATGAATTACATATTCTGTAAAGAAAGCTAATATGTTTTAAAGACAGACACAAGAATCTTACAAAATAGCTTTCAGAAGCCTTATTCTCTTGCGGATTCAACTTATACAATAGAAGATCAGAGAGTCCTAGGGGTTCAGGTACATAATTCTTTGAAATATGTACCATAGGTTTAGCATGCGTTTAGCACGCTTGCCTTCATTGCTCAGACCGGTGAGTACAGGAGTTAGGATATCATGTTGAATTTGTACAGGATGTTGGTGAGGCCTCTTCTGGAATACTGTGCGCAGTTCTGGTTACCCTGCTATAGGAAAGATATTATTAAATTGGAGGTGGTTCAGATTTACCAGAATGTTGCTGGGAATGGAGGGTGAGTTACTAAAATAGGCTGGGACCTTTTTTCACGGAGCATAGGAGGTTGATGGGTGATCTTATTGAGGTTTATAAAATCATGAAGGGCATAGATAAGGTGAATAGCAAGGGTCTTTTCCCTCGGGTGGAGGAGTTCAAAACTAGAGGGCATATTTTTAAGGTGAGAGGAGAAAGTTCTAAAAAGGACACCAGGGACAACTTTATTTTTTTTTGAAACAGAGTGGTTTGTGTGTGCAATGAACTGGTAGAGAAAGTGGTGGGTACAGGTACGGTTACAACAGTTGAGACACATCTGGATAAGTACGTGAATAGGAAAGGTTTAGAGGGATATGGGCCAAACGAAGGTAAGTGGAATCAGTTTAGTTTGGGAACACGGTCAGCGTGGACTAGTTGGACTGAAGGGTCTGTTTCCATGCTGTATGACTCTATAACTGTCGCCAAATGCAGATAATCAGACTTTGTTATCTTAAGAGTCAATCACAAAGGACATTAAATAATTCAAGGATTCTGTGACTGCCGACTGAAACCTCAAAAGCTTCTGTAGTGTTGAATAGAAGGTTGAGGGTTATTGCAAGGAATGTGAGCATAATTGACTTTGCTTTGTGGCACACAGATAAAAGAAATTTGCCTTTTTGTAGTCATTTTGTTTGATTGTGATAAAACTGACTGAAAAACCACTTCGAAGAGAATTATCTAACGGTGACAAGGGAAATAGCCAGTGCTGCTCAAAAGTGAGACAGAGAAAGGCATTCTGAACTATTATATTGAGCTAGGCTACCAAGTATTATAACATAGTGTTGTTAGAATAAAACAAATGAGATTTTCACTCATTCCCAGAACCTATTCTGTTCAATCCGACCTTGGGAGCAACCTCCAACTATTCAACAACAGAAGCCATTATAGTTGCTGAATCAGACTTCACATTTCATCTCTTTCCGTTTAGAAATAGAATCTTTGAGCAAGATCTGCAACAGTAGTCATGATCTAATTGCCACATTCACATAATTTTCACCCTTACCTACAATAAATCTTTGCGTTTGTATTTTAGCTAATAATGTTATCACCATTTCCTTATGCAGTTTCTAGCAATGGTTATGCAATAAGTTCATCTATTATCTTGTTTACAACATTAAGTTGCGCTGTTTGTTATTTTAAAATCAAAATTTTTAAAGGAAAAGTGGGCAAAAAGAGGTTCATACAAACTTTTAGTTCAAGGATCATCGCAAGGACGTGCCTGATGTTGTCATGACAGAATGCATTTAACAAATGTAAAAATCTAACCCAATTCCAACAAGCTCACCCGTTTTCTTGGTTGAGGGAAGCCTTCTTTGTTCTTTGCACGTTGCCTTGCTCTGTGCTGTCTTGCTGTTGCCATTCGGTCACGTCGTGACAATTCAAAGGTAGCTATTTCAAAAAATAAGCCAAAAAATAATTATACAAATACCCTCCATAGAACTTTTCCACTGCTTGAAATTGAGCAGTGAAGAACTTGTCTGAAATTAGATTTAACAATAATATCACTGAACATTTAAGAGCTTTTTACTTTGTTGAAATGAAACAGAGGTACCTGTAAATACAAGGAAGATTTCAAGAAAAAAGCTGCTTTTTGAACAGTCAAAAGGGCAATTGTGGAGCTAATGGAAAAAGCTTTATAAGTTACTCGAAGAATCATAAAACTCTCAAAGACTGAATTGGGCTATCGTGGAAAATGTCAGAAATAGTAAAAGACAGTTTTTGATTATTTAGATGATGACGATGATGATGATAGTAAGATTAATAATATTGACACAGATCATTACTGGCTCAGATAAAACTACAAATTTAACAACAAATAGTATCTGGAGACCGACCATCAGCTCTGCCTACAGGTGGAACTGTTGCTGATGACTATTGTCATCACTCACTATTTGGAGATTTGGGGTTGAGGGACCTTTCAGCCAAATAGCAATTATGGAATTGGAATGTAAGCTTAGCAACCAAGAATCAAAGTATAAAAGCACAAAGCAACTTTACTGCAGAAGTGAGCGTTTCATAGTTTGTTCCAGCAAACAATATCACAAACACATCTTCGAAGGACATTCTGCTGAATGGTACGTCCTTAGCACCCGTTTTGATTGTGCAAGTCTGTTCTGGACAGATACTCAGTGCTGATGTATTTTCTATAACCAAAAATAATGCATTCCATCAAGGTGAGATATCCCTGACCCCCAAGTGATTTTCTCTCCTTCTGTGGCAGGGATGAACAAATATTGTTTGGTGCCATTTGGTTGTACATAGTGGCTTCTTCTATTTCTTAATTAAATCACAGGGTGATGGTTATTTCTGATTCATTGTTGTGATGTACTAAATTCCAGTGCTTCTGTTTTATAGCTGGCATTATGATGACAACGCAGCTAGATTAGTACAAAAATTGCATGTAGGCTCTTGTGGTGCAGTGGTACTACCTCTGGACTATGAATCACAACTTCAGGTCCCATCTGCTCCAGAGGTGTGAAATAACATTTCTAAGCAGGTTGGTTAGAAAATATCTGCATACTTAAAACTTTGATTATGAAGAAGTCCCTTGGCTTACGAGTAGAGGATCACCTTCCCTACGGTGTAACATAAAGGCTACTTGATGTCTGAATGAAAGACCCTGTATTAAGTACTGGCTTAAAATATCCACAACAGGCTCAAGACTGGTAGATGTCTTTTTAAGAATGTGGAGTGTCACACTTGTAGGGACAGTGAATGTAAACGTACATATTCCCTTTAAGGAAAAAAGTTTATAAAGTCAGAGGAAGGAAGGGGTCTTGGCATTCCAGTTCATAGATCTCTAAAGACTCATTATTAAAGCCATGAACTAACAGTGAGAACAAATAAGATCTGGATTGAACTTGCACTTATAGGTGAATTTGATACAGTATTCCCTCTTCTTAATTTGCATAAATTTATCATCAGTCATCAATAGGGCCAGTATTCATGTTTAGTGTTGAGAATTTCATTTTAACATTTCACGCCTGGTGGACCTAGAATATCTCTAATTGGCCACGTTAAAACAGCCTCCCCTGTCCTTTAGCACTCTCAGTCACTGTATCACCAGCTTGTGGCTTACTTCTGCAACCTAGCAACTCAAAGCTGCTCTCTCACTGTAAAGAGCTTTTCACCTCATGCCCTATGGTCCCATGTCCTTACACATTGCGAGGATTTGGCAGAGCTGATGGCAATTGAGGGAGTCAGGGAGTGCATGAAGCAACAAGCAAAGAAAGTTAATATATCTTTTTCACATTTTCAAATCTATTTTATTTTTCAAGTTATTTCGGCACGGTGGCTCAGTGGTTAGCATTGTTGCTTCACCCAGCATCAGGGATCTGGGTTAGATTCCACCCTCGGGCGACTATCTGTGTGGAGTTTGCACATTCTCTCCGCGTCTGCATGGGTTGCCTCCGGATGCACTAGTTTCCTCCCATAGTCTAAAGACATGCCGGTTAGATGGACTGGCCATGCTAAATTGTGCATAGTGTCCAGGCAGGTTAGATGGATCAGCCATGATGAATACAGGGTTACAGGAATAGGGTAGGGGAGTGGGTTGGGGGGGATGCTCTTCGGAGGGTCGGTGTGAACTTGATGGGCCAAATGGCCTGCTTCTACACTGTAGGGATTCTATGATTTGAGTTTTGTAATTTAGCAATATACTGTGTTTACATGTACAATGTTCTTTTTTTGTGACAGAACACATCCCATGGAATTTAAAAGTTTTTAATAGGGTAATGGGAAAATATTATTTCAATTAAATGTTGTTTAAATTTGCACTTCTCAGGAGAGCAACTAAAGTATCAAGCTAGGCATAACTAACTACATTTTGTTCTTGTGAAAAATGCTAGTTAAGCCCTAGTTTTAATACCACATCCAGTTTTGGTTTCTTCAGAGTGATTATGAGGTTTTGGAAAAGGTGACATGAAGGCCACTGGACGAATGCCCAGTGTAACATTTTAACCATTCATAGGGCCTGTGCATAGTTGGCAAGGTCATTAGTTACTGCCCATCTTAGTTACCAAAACAGGCTGAAAGAGCCGGAGCTACCCTTCAGAGATGTGCAGAAGCAGGAGGGCTCTGTTCGAGGTTTACAAGATGAAGAAGTTTGAGTTTCCAATGACAGTTTGTTCCAATTACATAGTTTAGGTTGGGTGTCAATCTTAAATTGTACAAAGCCAGAAATTTGTTAGGACATGGTTCTTTTCGGAGAGATAAGCGAACCTCTGGACAGGTAGCCAGCTAGTGCAATGGATGTCGAATCACTCAATTCTGCCAGTTAAGAACTGGATCTATTTCTAACCAGAAGAGATCAACTCATACTAAAAAAAAAATGCACATTGTAAGGAATTTCAGGGACAGAATAATTTCTTGCACTAGTTTTGATTCTCTCACAGGTGAGTGCAGTGGTCAAGGAGTGGATCAGCGACAACATCTTGGAATTTTTAATGCTCCAAGTTAGCCCAGGTCTTTTTTTCTGATTTTGCCCTTCACAAGGAAATTACATGAGTTTTTGGTCAAGGCAGCAAGTGTACATAGCGCAATATCCACAAATGGGATGAACAGAGGATCTTATCCTGTTCTTCATTGCCTATATAATTCCCAAGATTTCAATTCCCAATATTATTCTTTAACTAGCTGTTAAGATGTTAATAATAGTTTAGAACAGTTTTCCTGTTAGGAAGCATCTGGCCCTCACTTGTCATGGTTGATATCACAAAACCACAATGTAAATAATCACTGAACAAAAAACTACAAACACTTAATCACCTTAAGACAAATACACATATCACAGAATTTACACATACGTAGAAATAAATCTGAAGTGAACACATTGTTAGGTCAGCATTTAACACAAACTGCCTATTCAAGGATTTAAAATGATACTCCTGCATGGAAATGGCAGCCTGCAAAGGTGCAATTGCATAGCATGACCAGTTGGTGACTCCATGGTGCAACCTTTTTAAGCAAACTCACTACAGGAGAGAGGATATCAGGTCCATAATCAGAACAAGTCCAGTTTAGTGTTGATATGTTCTGAACTTGCTCGGTGGCTCTGTGTAAAAATCACAACCATCCTCTACACGAAGGACTTTATGCACATTTCTTAGGAGTCCTCATGTTTATATTAAGTACATCGTTACTCAATATGATTTGCAGATCAAGCCACTTACGTATTTTTTCCTTCAACCTGTTTCGAGCTGTTATGACACACACCTGGAGCAGGTGGGACTCGTACCCAGGCCCCCTGGTTCAGAGGTATGGGCATTACAACTGTGCAAGTTATGTCGTCATCCCCTACATGACTGAAGGTGCTATCCGAATTGAGGCCCTTGTATTTCTCCCAAAGTTTACAAGAAAAAATTCTTAATCTAGTATTAAACAGCTAGGTTATTGTAAAAGAACAGAGCCACAGAGTCTAACAGCACAGAAACAGTCCCTTTGGTCCAACTTACATATGCCGACCAATTTTCCCTGAACTAAACTAGTCCCACTTGCCTGCATTTGGCCTATATCCCTCTAAACCTTTCTATTTATGTACCTATCCAAATGTCTTTTCAAAATTGCAACTGTAGCTGTCTACTTGCGACAGCACTTTCAAGGAACTATATACCTGAACCTCTAGGGGGTCTCTGTTCTACAACACTACCCAGGACCCTATCATTAATTGTGTAAGTCCTGCCCTTGTTTATCTTACCAAAATGCAGTACCCCTCACATTTATCCAAATTAAACTCTCGGTCACTCCTCAGCCCATTGGCCCAATTGAGCAAGATCCCTTCTGTAGGTCTCAATGAAAAAGTGGCAAATATACATCGATGTGTGGAAGGAAGAGTGAGAAAGCTTTGTACACTATCCAAGAAATTGCAAATAATTAGAATATTTTTTCAATACATAAACACATTGGTTTGATTTAACATGAATTTACATATCTCTTTAATGTAGAAAAGTACCCCAGAGCACTTCATAGAGGCAAAAGGAGAAAAGCAGATTCCAAATCAAAGAGGCTTTAGGAGTGGGTTGCAACAAGCAAATTCCAGAGTACTAGGCTTGCCAACTGAAGGCATATTGGTCAGTGACATGGATAATTAAAAGGACTGCATAAGAGGGAGAGAAAGTTTGGCAGTGGAAGATATTGCAGCACTGGAGGAAACGAGAGAGAGGTCGAGCCTGCAGCACAATTTGAATACAGGATTCAAATTTTAAATATTATCTCCCAGTTCCTCAAATTGTGTTAAGAATGACTGGCAAATTGGACTTAGTGCAGACTCCAGGAGCAGAGGTTTCGATAAGTTGAAATTTATGATAGTGAGGAAAGAAGGTCAGTGTCAACCCGATTTAAGTGACTGTTGCCATGTTTCATCCTCCCGATGTGGCAGGCTTTTCTGTCTTAAGTACAACCACATTTGCCATAATAATATATAGCAAACCAGCAGAATTAAACTCTCAAAGTAACTAATCCGATCACATGGCTCAGAGAAGCTGATGAACAGCAAGCACATTAGGACAGGAGTGGTTAAGATCCAAGTTATCTATCAGGAAAGATCACATCAGTCCTTAATTATCTACGGTCTAACATACTGTTTAGTATTGCTAACAGTAATTTGATATGTATGATATCCACTACATCCAAACTCCAGATGGGATCTGACCAAAGGGATAGTTTCTCCATATCTGAGCAATTTAATCCTAAAAATTTGAACCATCTCAATTAGACCATGTGATCACTTTCTAAACTCAAGCGATTACAATAGAAGTTTATATAATCTGTTGCTGTAATTTAACCTTCGTTGTCAAAATCGATACTATATCCTTTTTTGGGGCAAATCCTGCGCATCCTTTGGAACCGTGCAGCCAGTGCCATATGCAATATTCCAAATGGGACCTAGCTAATAGCCTGGACAACTAAACTAAAAGTTCCCATTTAATTCCAATATTTTTGGATAAAACTTAACATTTCATGAGAGCTTTGAGTGGTCTTGTATATGTTCATTAGTCTTTTTTTAAGTGAATTATGGAACTGGGCACCCAAATCTCTTTGCTCCTTCAGTTTCCAATCTTTCAACATTTAGAAGACTTTCCTGTTCACTTTACTTCAATCCAAGGTGGACCACCTCACTGTCTTGCATTGATTCCCAACTGCCACAGTAATCAGTCTATGGCCCTTTCCAATTTCCTGAACCCATCTTCACAACATACCTATCCTTCTATCTTAGGATTGACTACAAACTTGGATATATATTCGATTTCTTCAAGCGGGCTCAAACTGCTGAATCCTAATGCAAGACTGCCTACGGTAAATTGTTATAGCAGACATAATATTGCTGTAAAGGCCTACACTGGAATTATTTTTGGCGGGTCACTTTTATAAAATGGGCCAGATTTTGCTAATACAAGTATTGGTGAGATTTTCAAACCTCAATTATTATGGAGGAAATCATTCTGCAACAACAAGCAACTGGATATGCACGTTAAATGTAAAGAAGTTCAGAAGCTGCTTCCCAAGTTCATCTGCTTCTACCGAAGTTTTGTTACACCAACTTTACATTAAGAGGCTCAGCACCAAAAATAAATGGCAGAATATGATGTTGTGGTATTTACATGATATATTTCCATTAAAGATAAAAAAATTAGAACTTGTCAATTCAAGTACAAACGAGTTTAAAAGAGACAACAATTCTTAACTGTTACAACAACTTTGCTCACAATGAATATTTATTTTTTAAAATTCAGAGTCTCGATCGTTCAAGTTTTAATTATTGTTCAATTATTCTTTTGATATTTTTGTCTCTTATCACTTGTATTTAATTTAATCTGGCATTGAATTAACAATTCTATATTCCATTTTAAGTTTTACATTAGACTCTGCTTCACAGAAGATTCTTCAATGAGATTGATAAAGATGGCACACAGTTATTTGCCTTGTCCAAAGCTCCCAGACCCCCTGTAAACAGTGTCACTCTGCTTTTGATTGCTAATAACTATAACTTGCAGTTCAAAATCATATCTCCCACAGACATTTTGTGGAAGTTTAATAAACTGCTAGTACCATTCATGCATCACTAACCACAACATCTTGGCTAAAAGTTTTATTGATTTTGCATAATTTTAAGACTAAGAAGGACTTCTGGATACATTTAAGTTTTTTTTTGCTTTTTAACATATATTTTATACTTCCAACTTGTTCTTTGCTCCTAAAAATATTAACTGACATTGTGAAACTAGTCCAAAGGTGCACCAACGTTTTATGGAAATGTTGGTGCTCCGTGAGCATTATCAGACCACAAAAGTCAGCAGACTTAATTTCCACAGAAGGCACCATGGTCAAAACTCACCCTGTTCTCATTCTGATGCTTTATTGTTGGCATTTTCAAACATAAGTTAGCAAACAGCAATAAAGAACAAATGTTATTTAATTCTGATTTTTCCTAAACCAGAAAAAACACTTTCTTTAACCCAGGCTGACATTATCCAATACAACAGGGACAGAGAAACACTTTGTCAACTTGTTCAGTGCTCCACAATATTGATATATCTTGAAAGACCAGACAACTTCAAAGTTCTTGCTGCAGTAAATCCAAGTTTTAAGTATTTTATCTGTGCTTTGTGGGTGCAGAGGTAGGTGGAGAGTATTTTGGACAAGTTAGATTTTACATTTCATTTTCAAAGGCACACATTACTAAGCGACCTTTATTTTCTGTTATTACTGACCTACTGATATGTCTGCTTCCAGATCATCCTCAGCTCCTTCAATGTGGTATGATTGCATCTCTGGCTCAGTTGCTGGTGCTGGTGGTTGAGGTGGAGGTACAGGTGCGGATGTGAGAGACTGTTTCAAGTTAAAATTGCTCAATTCATCCTCCCAACTGTGTGGTGTAGACACTGCCTCTGACTCAAGATCCCCACTATACGTGCTACCTTGATCTGGAAGGAGAACCACAAAGAAAACATATGCTAAAGTTGACAATATTCTCAATTTTACATGACAACCTCTAGAAGAGAACATCATTTCTAATTTTTGATCCCTTAAGGTCAATTTTGTTATTACATACAAATTGCAGGAGATATTAATGTAGAGCTGTGCTTAAGAAGCATCCTTCCATCAAGAATTCACAAGCAATTAACTATGGCACTGCATCTAGTACATGGATGGAACAGGTCAACAATTTTAAAACTGGTGTCAGAAATGCAATTAAACTTGGTTATAACAAAACACACAACTGTGGATAAAGTTTAATCAGCACGTGTACACAAGTAGAATTAATAGACACCCACCATGGAGGATACAGGAACATTGTATAGAACATGGGGAGATGGGTGCTAACCCAATGAATTTTCTTTATAATTCCATGAATATAAAAGAATCGCAATACACAAATTAAGTGGAGCCAGTCAAGAGATTCAATACTCATTCTGTATCTAAGAAATTGCCTTATCTGAACATTAAATTTCTTCTTCTTCAGTGTACCATGCAGATTTGTAGTTAAGTATCAAACTCTTCAAAATTTATTAACACAATTTAGTAATTAGCTGTTTTCAAATATCAGGGCCAAGATCCTGCTTCTGCACTATGTCATGTTTGCCACTGCACCAATAATAAATGATCATTATTGATTTCCTGATGTCAAAACCCATTTAGTCCCACTGACTAATAAGATTTCTGGAATCCAGTTACATATTCAATCACACTGCTGATCTCTAGTTAGATGACTATCAGAAACTCACAGTTAAGCAAAAGCCTTTGCTAAGTAATTTAAAAAGACAGGCTCCTATAGCTCTCCTAACAAAACAAAATTGAAACTTTACACTTCAGTACAGGTTGGAAATGATGTTACAAGCAATCAAACAAATATTAGATTAGGAACTAGAAATTACGTTACTAATCTATACCAACCACCATGTGAAATAGTTTTCTCTTTCTCCTCCTCTTCTGCAATCATTGCAGCCATTGTTAAGAGATCTGCTTCAAAGGGATTTGAGGGAATCTTCTCTTTTATTTCCTGGATCGTTTCAATTATTCTGTCTGCACTGTCCAATGTTGTTGGAATGAACATCGGAACTGGAAGCTGAAATGCAATGGATTTGACTTTTAAAATAATGGGCTAGAGTTTTATCTACACCTTAGTAGTAATCTGGCCAAGGGGTTACCTCAGCCCTATTTTAATTCCATTAATGTCAACAGAATGAAACTCAGGCAGTCTCAATAAGGAACAGCTACTTCAATCCACTAAAAATTCAAGGAAATATCTACCTCAAAGTACATTTATTGCATTTTGGCAACTACAAGAGATTAAGCACAAGCAACTGAAAATTTGCAAAGAATCAATGGCAGCCCATTGAATCCTATTATTAAATTATTAAGAGTTACTGCAGTTTTACCTCTGAGATCCCAGATGCCTGTATCCTGTATGTCCAATTTAGTCTAATATTTATTAAATGATCATAATGTGATCAAGACAATGTATCAATCAAACACTTGCAGAAGATCGATATACACATTGGGAATTAGGGGAAAAATGGCAATTGTGCTCAGCACTTTTGTTGTGCATTATGGTGACCAAGTGTTTGACAATGAAACTCACTAATGCATGAGACAACCCTGAACTGATCAGCTCAGCGAAAACGTGGGTATCATGGCAGGTACTTTCATTCTGATAAGATGAAGTCTCTATATTTATAAATGTATGAAACAACATTTTAGACAGAAAGAAAAGTCAAGCAAATGTAGTCCTGACATTTAAGATTTAACACTTACAATTGGAATGTACAGGATAACTGAGTACAGACTTCTATTAGTAGCCATTTAGAAATTGTCAAGGCAATATCAGCGAAAAACATTTCCAAAAACGTATTGCAGACGGCTCTGTCATGGTGTCTAATGAATTTCTTTTCTACGGTCTACTGTGGAGCAGGCTTTGGGACTGGTTCAGAATTCGACACTGCATTGAATTTCATTTTAAACCAAATAATTCTTGAGAAAGTTGCCATGATGACAGAACATTGTAGTTTTCTGTCAGAGATTACTCCATGCCCTGATAGTGTTCCAATGCCATCTGAACCACTTGCTTCTTGTTATCTATTACAACTATAATCAATTCGGTAAAACTCAACACAGTAAGTTCTAATATCAATGGAGCACTTAAGTGAAGTTTGTCATTTGTTGCTGTTTACACGATACCTGACACCAATACAAAGATTTCTGCAAATGAATCAGAGCAAATCAGAGTTTTTTTAAGAAACTCTAACATCAATTTACATTTAACATTGCAAAATACAATTTTCAAAACTTAGCACCTCGAAGGTCAGGTAAGATATCCATTCTGCCTCAACATAACTACCTGATAATATATTCCATTATATGCATCACATTACCTAAAACAGCCAGCAGGCAACATTTTGACAGGCTACCATTTTGAGTATAACTTACAGGCACAGGCATCCCTATTGGTATTGGTGTGAACTGGGAGTAAAGATGCAGAGGCACAGGAATATAGACTGGCACAGGGATAGGTAACACAATCACTTGTTGCTTCCAGTCCTCTTCTGTCAATTAAAACAAAAAGAAACAAAGTAGATAGCAACAATAATACAAAATCAATTGGCCATTTTCAGTCAGCTACTAAGGCCAAGTGATCTATTTCAGAATTTACAATGTGTTACAATTCTACATTACCATTAGTTAATTCAATGTACAGCCAATTCCAGGGTCACATTTCTGACCTGTGCATAAAATAACAATGTGGTCACATTACACCCCTATACAGTTCTACTGCATACAAACAGAGTGCACCAAATCACTTCCATTGTTTATAATATCTGACATAAGTTTAAGTCCTTTAGTTAAAAACTTTTGGGAAATAACAAATTAGAATTGCAGTTAGTGGAACTCCAGTCCAGTAAGAAGTCACATTCCAAGTGAATCAGTTACATAAACAGGACTGCTAAAACTAAAACCTTTTGCAACTCTCTGAAGTATGACATGATCACACTTCTGAGCTCAGAATGACAGTGCTCAACATCAAGGAAACATTTAGCCAAGTATGGCGTGGCTTTTTTTCTCGAAAGGGTGGTGTGTGTGTTTGGATTCTCTACTAGGTTGGATCATATCTTGCACATAGGGAGATGATCGTGGTCATTTCAAAGCTATCATCTCAGCCATAGGATATCGTTGCTGGTGTTTGCCAGGGTTGTGACCTTCCAGCGAGAAAGTCTACTGAACACCCAGTAAAACGTGGAAATGAATCTGCTAATCAAGCAGGATCTCCATTTTGAAATACACAAGATGAGTTGGCCCAGTATGCATTTACAGTTTCACTGTTATGGTCTTCTGGATTAGGCTTAATTCTATTTATTTGTTTCATCCACGTCTCTCCTATCATAAGGGAACAATGATGCTTGCTGATGACTGCACTGTTTTCAGTATAATTTGCAACTCCTCAGGTAATGAAACTCTCTGCAGCCACAAAACCTGGACAACATTGACGTGTGAGCTGAAAAGTGGCACGCAACATTTGCATCATGCAAGTACCAGACAATTTCTCTCTCAGACAGAAAGTCTACCTACCTCTCCTGGATATTCAACAGCATTATCATGATCAAATCTCCTAACAAAATCTTCACAAGGGTCAACATGAACCAGAAACTCAACCAGTCACAAATAATATGCTAAAAGATCAGGTCAGAGGCTGGATATTCTGTAGCATGTGACTTACATCCTGATTTGTAAAGCACTTTCACAATTTAGAAGGAAGAGGCCAGAATATGATGGAATATTCTCCACTACCTGATGAGCGCAGCTCAAACAACAAGAGCTTAAAACATCCGTAAGGAAGCAACCTTTGTTGTTTGATTGGGAACCCATTGATGACCTTAAACCTTTGCTCCCTCCACCTCCAGCACGTCAGGACTGCAGTGTCCACTATATAAAGAATGAAATGCACTAAGTGAATAAAAAGTTTCCTCAGCAGCAACCTTCTAAATTATGACCTCTACCACTTAGAAGGAAAAAGGCAGCAGTTCCAACCTCCCATTCGATCACTACCCTGACCTGGAAACAAACTGCCGTTTGTGATTGACACTGGGTCAAAGTCCCACAACTCCTTAACTAACAACACAATGGAAGTAGTTTCAATATATGGGATTGCAGTGGTTTAAGAACGAACTATAAATTTTACCCATTTTTTTCTTTAGATCGGTTAAGTGGACTGCGGTACCAACGTTTGGAAACTGGCTTTTTCTACACACAGACGTTAAAAATGCTCATTCAAAGTTCATATGTAACAAGTTATGTTAATCAACTGCATCCATGCTTAAACTATTCCAACACATGTGCATGTACATGAACATGAATCCACAAACACACTGTACCTGTCTGACAAGCCTTGGTCTGAGTATGGGGCCTACAGGAGGTTGCTTTGGTCTGTGAGATAGGTTTACAGAGTAGTGCTTTATTCTTGAGCACCTTAGGTGGTGCAGAAGGTTGTAACCGAATGGGGTCTGTCTGAGTGCTGACCTAATTGTCAAAAGATTTAAGAAATTCAAGATAAAGGTAGAGTTAACTGCAAACAATTCAAAAATAGTTGAACTAAACACTTTCCAAACTCCTCCCCTACTTCTCCACTCACCTGAGTCCCTGAAGTGGTACGAGTTCCTCCTGGCAAAGATAAACAAATAAATAAATCTTAATGTGCAATCAGTCTGCCAAAAAACACTTTGCAGAATACTTGGAATTTATTCAAATGCACCTGAGTGACACAAATAACTTGAGAGTTCAACAACATAACCGCCTCCTAATATCTTTCTTGCTGTCTCATCTGTTCACATTTAGCCAAGTAACATGGGACCAGGTATAATTTTAATAGACCTACACCAATATAGACACGTACGAAGGAAAACGTATCCGTGAATCTGTGACACCATTTTTTCACAACGTGCATTCATGTAATATTCTTAATGCAGGAAAATAGTTGAAGATATATAAAATAGCTTCCACATCGATACAACCAAAAAAATTGAGTCACAGTAAAAACTTGGTCGAAGAAGTGGACTTCAATGACGCCCTGGAAAATGTTATCAGTTGCCAAAATATTTTTCACACTGCAAGTCTCACAGAAGCTCTTCGCCTCAGACAAAATTTTCACCAAACAAACAAGAAATTCAATTGTCAGGAGTTACTAGTAAAAAAAATCTATTTAATGTTGATTTGAACTCTAATCACGACCAATTTCACAACTGTCCTTTCTTGAAGTTGTTGGTGCACAAAAAAAAGCAAAAATGTCAGTAGAACTATCAGGCAATGGGATACACACAGAATTACTGGGACAAAAAGGAGAGTTACTTTTATTTTACAACCATGCGAAGTAGTACAGGAGTCAAAAATATTCTCATGTGAAAAATCACAAACATGCATGTGAAAAATCTGTACATGTAAAAATTTATACTCATTTTTGCTGGTATCCTTTAACACTATTGAAGAAGCCAAAAGGGGAATAAAAGGTACTCTAGGTAGGTGGCTTTCCAATATATACAACATATACTTCTCGGAATTAACCTAATATTTCATGATTTATGATACAAATTCAGGCATAGGTAATATCAGTGTCAGAAATTTAGCAGAGACATATATATGATGTGCATATAAAAATGATTTGAACTTATACAAAGGCAGCAAAATTTGTTGATGCATGGGGGTAAGGATTCAACTGGAAAGGATTTCAGGATGATGTAGGCAGATTAGGAGAATGGACAGGTGACAGATGCACCTCATTGTGGAGAAGTGAGAGGTGATGTATTTGAGAAATAATATAGAATTAATAAAAAGGTGAAGTTAGGGAGAACAGGGCAGGTATAAATGCATTCAGAGATAGTGGGAACTGCCAATGCTGGAGAATCTGAGATAACAAGGTGTAGAGCTAGATGGACACAGCAGGCCAAG